ATTGTGTGTGTGTGTGTGTGTGTGGGGGGGGGGGTCAATAAACATTAGTACATTTTGATTGATTGATTCATCTTTTCTGTTACTTTTGATTTTTAAATCACCTAATTGATTTATTCCCCCTGTGCCTTCCTCATGCCTTTGGAAGTTCAATGTGGAAAATAATAAAATGTACATGATAATTATGGCCAGCTATGTAGAATACAGAATATCACAGCACATATAGAATATCATGCATTTTCAAAAGAAGAACATTTAAACATTGCAAGCGGTTCTTAAACCTTGGCAGAAAACCATGCACATTTATTATTTTACTCATTTACTTAAATAAACTTACTTGCAGGTACATTTAAACATTTAAAACTATTTTGCTGTCAAAGTATTTACGTTTATCCTTATAGATTCCCAAAATGTACAACCAAAATACAATTCCTCCATTTTATTCATTCAGTGTTTTGTTGTTGTCTGGACACCCACATATTTCCTCACACAGAAGCTCATCTGATTTGTGCGTTACAATAAAGACTGTTTGGTTTATGACACGTTCTGATTGGGCAGCATTCTGCTGCTGCCAACTCAGCAGTGCTGGCTAATCTGTTCAATGAATTGTGCAATACATTAACCCTAGAAAAAAAAGTTGTTCACAACAATGAAGCATCACGGACTGCACAGGAGTGAGAACCAGGAGGGCTCATAATGGCTATAGACCAAGATCAACCCAGCTAGCAATATTTTGTTCTAGGAACGTTAATATCTGAATGTTCTTGAAATGTTAAAGTGTCTAGGTTTCGTAATGTCCCTGGTACATTATCCATTGGTAAGGATTGGAAACGAGAATCATTCTAGTTGATAACTGGTTCCAAATTTTTCAATATATCGGAGTCGTATGCCTCCAATTCAATTCCTCTTATAAATGCCAGGATGTTATGAAATGCGAATCGAGGTCTAAACCGAGAGACAGAATACGAGACACAACATTTTTCCCCTCAAGATGCAGTAAAAATTTGCTTGTGTGGGCACATCGTCAAGGACCTCAATCAATGATGCTCCTTAAATTTGCATATGTTTACGTATGGCGATGTAAAGCTATGCACATTTCAAAGCATGTAACACGTAGTATTACAGTGTTGAGGTGATTTACGTGCCGCTGCGATGCCTGTGACTAGCAGGTCTATCAGGTGTTCACCACTCCTGTCGCTGCATTCTGGATACAGCGAGGTGGATCTGTGAGGATAGGAGGGATTTCACTGGGGTGCCGACGTATCTTTGGCACTGAAGAACTGTTCTGGAGGGTGCCGGAGGGTAAGTAGGGGGAGCAGCTCTCAGATGAAGCTGGAATTCATTCAACCTCACATCCCTTGTCGACTCAAGCTCCATAGTGCAAACCTGCAGCAGCTGGGTCTGATACCGCTGCCGACTCAACTCCAGCTCCAATACTCTTCAGCCTTATTTCCAGCATGAGATTCCTAAAAGGGGGATCAACGGGATCTAAGCCTGCGATCTTGTCCACTACAGGACCTGCTTCTACCATCCCAAAGTCCCCAGACAAGTCCAACTGTGACACAACACCCGAGATCTCTCCTTCAGGTAAGATCTGCTGACTACAGTAGTTCCATCAGTAGGGCCTCCTTCATCTCACTCTGCAGTCCCTCCTTGAGTACAGTACCTCAAAACTGGAAAAAATCTACAATCAGTAACAGATCTGCTTGATACCACCTGCTAAACAGTGGTAGAAGAAGTAATCAAAGAATTTACTTAAATAAAAGTAGAAATAAACATATATGTACTCGAGTAAAGGCTGAAGTACCTCATTGGCCTTCCTACTTAAGTAAAAGTAAGGAAGTACTTGGAAAAATATTTAAAGCATTTAAGTAAACGTACTTGAACTTGTAGTCCCTGATACAGCTGTATAACATGACATTAAGTGTGTACTGTACATATATTTTGGTAAATACAAAAATTTAGGTATGATAGTGCTGTATTTTCCAATTTAAACATTTAAAACATGAAATGCCAGTTCATAATAAGAGCTTCAGAAATATATTCCATTGTTAACTGAAATGAGGTTTACATAATTAACCAGCTACCATGAGTAATGCTGATAAGCACATCTAAGTACACACTCTCAGCCACACAGTTTAACAATAGTTCTATCACTGATATCATGTGACAATAGGAAAACATCTATTATGTCCAATCACTACCTTATTATTATTACACGTAATATATTTATATTTTTTTATATTATATCTGTCATTTGCAAATCACACTCTATATATACGCAGCATGGGTGCAAGATTGAAATTTGCGTGAAGGCCCCTACTGTCACTGCCCCACCTGTGGGCGCCTGCGCAGTAGGTTTCCTGCATACATACTGTATACTGCGCAACATTTCACACCACTGCCCGATCTTTACTGCGCACTTTTCTGTTTACCTTTTTATATTTTATGCATTCATATCCTATATTTTGCTAAATGCTTAACTGGAAATTTGCACAAAGATTCTAAATAAAAGAAAAAAATATGAAAAATGAGTAAGTACCTTTTATTTGTCGAGTAAATAATTCAAAATGTCATAAGACATAGGTCTTTCCCACATGGTCATTCTATATAAAACATTTATTCATTGAATTTCCAGAAAAAGTGTGTGATATTGTGATGGCTATCAGGATATGAGATTTTGGTCATATTGCAAAGCCATATATGTGTAGGTTATTAATTAAGACATACCAGCTAATGGCCACAGGATGCAGATTTTGACACTGTTGTCATGACATTATCAACATACTATTCACGATTCACCAATAAGTCTGATAACAAACATTTGAGCATCGCCTCTTGCCACTTTCCATAATGAATCCAAAGGTTGTCATATGTAGTGCAAACTGTATAGCAATTGATCTCTCCAAGTGGAAAAACACGACACCCAAAGGTTTCATCTCGCTTTTATAAAAGTTTTCAAGAGTTGACAGGATTCGAAACCTCTGACGCCTACATCCTGCTTTGGGTCGTTGGGCTTTACTTTGATGAGAAAAGCTCCAAAATCTCAGTACTATCCTTCCAATCACTACTTTTCCTGTCGTCATCTGATAAAAAAAAAAAAAAAACAGCAATGGGAGTGTAAAATGTAACGCAATGCTAAGTAGAAATGTAATAGAGTAGAAAGTTTTAATATTTGCTGTGAGATATTGTAGGGTAAAAGGGAAACGTGTCCATGGCTAAATCTAATTAAGTATAGTACAGATATGTGAAAAATACCTAAGTAATAGTGCTTCATTACTTTCCACCACTACTGTTAAATTCCTCTAAAGTGGGAGTGATGGCAAACCCATGCAAATGGAACCTGGCAGACTCCAATGTGAAAAAGAAGAAACACAAAAAAGCTACAAACCGCCAAATGCACATAACAAGCAGCAGACAGGTTAGTCCCGGAAAAGCTGCAAAAAGTGTTTTTCGTTAAAGAAAGACACTGCTTACCTAGAGGAAAATGGTCTCACCATTCCCAGTGAAAGCCCCTGGTGTTCTCCTTGTCTTGTTCCTAAGGCCGATGACACCTATTGGCTTTGCAGAGATTACCAGAAGATCAATGAAGTAACCAAACTAGACTTATTTCCCCTGCTAGAATGGAGGACTGTATTGACCGTGTGGAGACAGCACAATTTGTCACCAAGTTAGACCATTTAGAAGTACACTGGCAGTTCCTGCTTGCTCCACATGCTTTGGAGATCTTAGCTTTTGTTACAGCAGATAAATTTCTACAGTACACCGTTATGACTTTTGGACTGTGCCACGCTCCCACCACCTTTCAGAGGCTAATGACAAAGGTACTGTGAGATGTTGGGAACTGTGTTGTTCACCTGAATGACATGGTAATATAGTCAGATACCTGGGAACATCACTTCTTCCTGTTAGGGGAATCATTTTCCCAATTGCAAGGGCCTTATTAGTTTAAAACTTGGAGAAGTGAGAGTTAAGGAAAGGCACGGTTACCTCCCTAGGAAAGTTAGAAAACCGGTGGATGCCAATCTCAGAGACTATGGGCACAAGGAAGGGAACAACCCAGGATGAGACGCCAACCCATCGCAGGGCACAATCACACACCATTCACTCGCACATGCACACCTATGGCACCTTTGCTAACTCCAATTATCCTCAGCATGTTTGGACTGTGTGGGGAAACTGGAGTATCTGGAGGAAACCCCATGACGGCACAGAGAAAACATGCAAACTCCACATACATTTTACTCTGGCGGAGAAGAAAATTCGGTGAAAGATTTCGGTGATGTTACTAAGATGGAGTATGGCCTAAACGAATGTGCCACAACCATTTTAAAGCATGGCAATCTAGATAAGAAGTCAGAACATCCAGAGAATAGATGAGAAAAATGTAATAACAATCACCACCCCACACTGTAAAAAAAGATAAGTTGACTCAACTTAACTAAGTCAAGTCATCTTGTTGCTTTGACTGAGTTAATTTGAGTCAACTTATAGTGTCAAGTTTATTAAACTTCAAAACAGGAGTTGATGCAACATGCCGTCTGTTTACTCAACTTCCTGTATCAAGTAAGTTGGACTTTAAAATATTATTTGAGATAACTTTAAGAGATGTTGGTTGAATTCATTTGATCAAGTTCCTACAACTGTGAATCAATTTGGCTAAACATGGAATACATAATTGATACAACTTGCGATTTGTTGACTCAACTTTCTGTATCAAGTAATGTGGACTGGAAAACATTACTTGAGAGAACTAAAAAAGATGTTGGATTAACTTGTTTTATCAAGTTAGGGCAACATTATTATTATTTCTTTTCTCATACTCTATTGCCAAGTTACTTGAGTTTACAGAAATTGCTAGATTTCAAAAATTTAAGCAAACTAATATCTACAAAAAATCTACATGAGAATTGGCCAGTCAAACTTAAATATTAACACATGAAAAAATAGCTGAAAAGTAAGAGATGAAATTATATAAAAAGTAAGAGATGAAAGAGATGAAATCCAATTCAATAAGGACCTTTATTAAAACCCCAACAAGTCCAACTTCACCCAGCCTTGCTTTAAAATTGAGACATCAAAAAAAAAGACCTTCCTTGGGACATGTTCAAAATTTTGCCTTTACACTCTCTAACACACTTTTGCTTGGGGCTGCTTACTAACTGAAATTACACTGTTCCACAAATAATAATATAATACATAAAAATAAGTGCAGCCTTCCTTTGGGGAAAAACAATAACTCTCCGAATTCAACTGAGTCAATTGTTGTGGATGTTCAGAGTTGCTGCAGTAATTTGCAGAAAGATTTGTAAAAACAAAACAAACAAAAAAATGTATCTCTGAGAAACTTGCTCAAATGTCAGCCAGAAAATGAACACGTTCAAACATTACAGAAATCTCCACTCTGTTCATGTTTGCTCTACAACATAAAATACAATTTAGTGTCTGCAAGTGACATTTCCTCCACAGAGAGCAATAGACATCTGTTAGAACATAAAAACATAAACTGTTGTGACCCACAGAAAGGCTTTACATTTCCTCTTACTACATTTGTATTGCTTGTGTGAGTGTATGTGCGTGTGTGTGTGTGAGTTGATGAGCATGTGTGTGTGTGTGTGAAAGAGAGAGAGTTAGTGAGCGTGCCTGTGTGTGAAATTTAAACTAACAAACTCGTTTATCTATCTACTTCAAACTAATTTAAACTTTAAACTATAAACTACTTTAACTTAAGCTAACTTAAACTAATTTAAACTTCAAACTAACAAACTTCTTTAAAGTTTCTGGTCCGGCTTTCTTGAGCCAACTTTAAGTTTGTCTCGACAAACTTTTTTAGCAAATGGCAAGAAAATTAGAATTCTTCCTCATGGCCAAATGCAGAAACATCCTCCTGAGCCATCCCTCTAACTGAGCAGTTTATTCTTTAGAGAGTGAACCCTGGGAGTGCACATCTCACACCCGATTCCCATGAACAGGCGCTGAATCACCTCAAAAGTATATTTCATGTCTTTTGGATAGTCAAGGTTCAGCATGTACAGCAGGCCCATCAGGTTCACAAAAGCGTTGGGTACATCACCAAGATGACGCATGACAATCTTTTCCTCAATGACAATGGCAACATCGTTGTAGGAAACTGGAAGGGGCTCTTTCACATCTTCAACAACCAAAAGGATTCCAATCACCATTCCTTTGATGAAGTCCTCCCCAGGATCTGTTGGCTTCATGCAAAAACAAACAAAAAACAAAAAGGTGCCTGTGCTTTAGACATGTTTGGCTATATAGAGTATCCACACAGAGGATGCCTGAAATGATGTGTAACCATGCCCATTGTAAACTAGTTTTTGTATCAATAAACAACATTTTGCTGCTTACCTCACATCTCTTCATCAATGTAGAAGGATTTTCCTTCATGTACCATGGCAGTCCCTGCAAAGCTGCTGCTCTCTTCCTTTGGTTTGATGCCTGCAAAAACACAATACGTGAATTCAGTTGATATCAGAACTCTGATTTTTGTCAACCCTCAAATGACGGAAACTGAGCTTTCAGTTCAAAGAGGTAACTTGAACTCTGGCCTTCTCTCCATCTACTCCATCTTACAGAGCCATTTTCTTATTTATTCAGTCTGTATCAAATGCCTATCCAAGTACATTAATTAGAGGTTTACTGTCTGTCATAATCTACATCCTGGTCCCTCTCCTCAGTGGGGTTGCACAATTAATGTGGACCACAACTACAACAAATATGCACTTACATCCTTGTCGAGACTCTCCATTAAGGATGTCATGTCTTGAACTTCCTCGAAGTGCTTCAACCGGAATAACTGAAGAAGTTTATGCAGATGGCTGTCCAGACCCTCATAGAATTTATTGATGTCCATTGAAGTGAGCCTGGTGAATTCCTTGGCAATCTATGTGGAGAAGTAACATTACAGTTTTAGTTCAAGTTAAAAGTCACCTAAATGTTCACATTTCAGCACTACAACTGACATGTTGTCAGACATGGGGAGTACAGCAGAGACCTGTCTCAAGAGGCATATTTCATTAATATTAACTTCAACCTCAACGATCTGTGTCCTCAGATGGGCAGATTGGCTTGTGTGACAGGTTATTGAGTTGTATTAATGTTTACATCAGACTGATATGTCAGTGCTTTGTTAAGTTGTCATGATAATTCATACATGCTAAGTAACAAGGCTGTAAGTTTAACAAATCAGTATGTACTACTATGATTTAAGTAGTTAAATAAAAATATGTGATTCATATCAGTTCAAGCATTATTTCATATCATAACATATAGGAGTGGCCTACAGGAAATATCAATTTATGTTTAATGTGTCAAATATTCTGTTAGTCATAACAGAGCAAGTTATTGCTTGCGTCTGTTGATTAAAAAAAGATTAAATATTTCCATGTTTTTATATTCTCGGCCACATCAGAAGTCATCAAATTAGTCAAAAATTGAATTGTTGAGGGTGTTTTTACTGTTATCAAATGTAAAAATGGGTCACGTTTGACCCTCAACATTATTTAAGCGTTACATAAATGTTACTTAAACAATTTTTTATTTTACTCCCAAATATTTCACTTTAGGAGCACGTGTTCAATGGGAGGAATGTTAGCATAGAGCCCTGCAATATACACAATCCAACATTACTACTTTGCTATGACCAAGAAAAAATGTACACATTTTACCTGTCTTTCAGTAAAAAGGGCAGGCCATCTGACTCTCATTTCGGCCACAGGTGGCTCCTCTTCAACGATCTCCTGTCTTCTCAGTGCGTATGTGGCATTCATTGCATCATCGATGTAGGCCAGGTTTGGGGTTGTTTTTTTCATCTCCTGGACCATCTTTTCTCGATCTTCTTCAAGACTTCTGCTGTCTCTTCCCTGGGGGAGATCTGGAAGAAAATTTGTTTCAGACCGTCTAGGTTTCTTCACTTTGTTTCTCTTCCCTCGCGTGTCCCCAGCACCTCTTTTCTCAGAATTAACCTCCAGTTCTCGGCAGCCCACACCTTTCAATTTCTGTCTGTAATTGCCCATCTTGAACTTTATGCTATGTTTCCATCCATACCATCCAGATGTGGAGCCAGGTTCTGTAAGGCAAGGATGTTTTTCAACAAGTGCCTTAGCTACACATCCAAAATGTTCAAGTGTAGGGTAGGTCATGAATGAATATATTGTTTCAGCAAGTTTGAGCAGAATCTGAGACTTCATGTCCCTTGAAATGGATATAAGTGCTCCACTTTCTCTAAAAGCATCATTGCCCTGCCAGAGCTTCAGCTCAACATCATATGAGAAGGTGGGAATGGGAAAATAAGCTGGCCATTGCTGTGAACGCCGACCTGCAAAGCACTCTGTTTGGCTGCTCAATGAAGAGGATGTCGTCGGAGATGATGAATGAGCTAAAGAGGATGCTGCCAGAGATGATGGTACAGCAGAGCTAAAAGTGTCCAAACTTGAGTCTGAAGAGACAGGGCAGAAAACGACTTGCAATGTCACCTTGTCCTTTGGTAGATCATCAACACACGTGAGGTTGCAGAAGTCTTTGAAATCCTCATCTTCATATTGAAGGTCAAATGAAGAGCGTAACTGCAGTTTGTTTTTCAACACCAGTTTCAGGTCATCAACCGAATCTGGAACAGAGTCCAAGCGGAGCTTTCTAATGTCCTGTGCTGAAATGATCACACGCAACAGCATCTTCTTGCGACTGAGAAACTCTCAGGACTTCTCTGCTGATGAAGAAAAAAAAAAAGAAAAAATGTAAGAAAAGACAAAATGAACAATAAAGAAACATTAATAAACATGAACATTCATACACATTTTATTCTGTTTAAATCCTGTTTTTACATTTATGGACATACTGCATGTTTTTCAGAGGAAGAAGAGGAACACACCATTTAAAGTAAAATAACAGCCCAACTATACCTTAATGAAGCAAAAAAACTTTTGATGTCACCATCAGTTTGCCTGCTTTTGTGTATGGATACAGGGGTTGATATCCATTTAGTTCGTGTAATTCCACAATCACCAGTTCAGAAGACTGTTTTTTCATCAACTCATAACTCCGCAGGTGCTCCATGTACCATGCATGATATGGTTCTATGAGGAAAGACACTTTGCTGGACACAACTACAATTTTAACCAGCTTCCCAAAGTCAGGCAGGCCACTGGTGTGCCCCACTGACAGAAACATACCCTCTGAATACTTTGTGCCATAAAGGCAGGCATGGGTTGCAAGAGACACAAGACTTATATTTCCATATTTCAGCTCTACAGCCCGCCTCATGGAGTGCTCGAGTGCATCAGGTGAAACAATTGCAGTGTGTCCAACTTCCAGATCAGGTCTGAAAAGACTTGGCAAGTCTAGATGGTAAGCTAAAGAAAGCTGGTGTTTTGTTGATAGTGTGAGCAAGATGTTTCTGAAATTGTGAGAATCATGCACCACCCTTTTAAAAAAGCTGTGCTTAGCTTCAAATCTAATGGTCCAGAAATCAACCAGGGGACCAAATCTCCGAATCAGTTCGGGATAATGTTCTAAGAAGTGGTGCTTGGGCAGGAG